AAAGGTAATTTTTTTTTAAATTTTCATGTGACTGGATATTTAATTATTTAAAAATGTAGAAATTAGTTGAAAATGTGAGAACCCATGGTTTTGAATATATTTATCTATGAGAATGAAAATTGTGGCTTTTCCTCAATAACATGTCTATTTTCATCCCTTGGAAAAAAAGAAATTCTGGATTATTGTTTACACCTAATCTATACATTGGTGATATTCCAAGTGTAACTATTAAAGTTTAAAATTTTGGATTAATTGCAACTATAATACTATTTCTAGCACAACAGAAAAATTTTCATATTTTCCACGGGAAGGAAAAATTAGATTTATAAGTAATTAATAAATATGAGGTAATGTAATTACATGTATTTCAATAGCCTCTTCCTTTAGTCTCTTTAACGTACTAGTAGTAAAAGGAATGTACTAGAAAGCCACAAACAGTACTGACATGAGTAAGCAACAATACTCTCTTCTCCAGTCAGTCCCCTCCAGTCAGATCCGCCCTCCCCCCTTTTTGGAAGTATTACTTGTAATGCAGATGATTTTACTCCAGTGAGTTTCAACACTTTCCTTCATAGGATATTTGCTTTTTTGTGTCTCCTTGTTTTGGCAAAAAGAATGCCTTGTCATCCAGGACCACCTATGTTATCACAAATGACAGGATTATATTATTTAGTTTGGCTGCCTGAATAGTATTCCATTGTAAGTGTTTTTCAAGCTTGCTTTATCCTTTCATCATTATTGGCATTTGGACTGATTTTAAATTCTACCTATTGTGAAAAGTACTCCAGGAAACACAGGAATGCAGATGTCTCTCTGACATAGTAATTTCATATCCATTGGATATATACCACTAGTGGGACTGCTGAATCATATGGTAATTCTATTTTTAGGTTTTTGAAATAGCATCCATACTGTTCCATAAAAGCTGTATTCATTTACATTCCCTCCAACAGTGTGTAAATCTCCTTTCTTTCCAAGCTTGCCAGCGTGATACTCTTGTCTTTTTGATTATAGCCACTCTACCCAGGGTAAGACAAATACCACCTGGTTTGTGTCATATGTGAAATCTAAAAGACTTGTGTTTATAGAAATAGAAAGTAAAATCCTGGTTATGGGCTGCTGAAGAATGGGAGTGGAGGATGGGGAAGCAGTGAGAGGCTGGTCTGTGGGTACAAAGTTACAAGTAGATTGGAAGGCTAAGTCCTCATACTCTGATGCACAGTAATTATATTTAATAGCAATGTATAGTTCAAGTGGGTAAAGCTTTTGAATGCACTAACCCAAAGAAATGATAAATGAGGAGGTAGACTAACTACCCTAATTTGATCATTATACAGTGTGTACATGTGTTGAAACATCATACGTACTCCATAAATACGTACAATTGTGTATCAATTAGAAATGATTTTCTTATGTTTAAGTCAAAAAGAGATTGAATGAGCTTTGGGAGGGGTAGTTCAGTGGCAGAATGCTGCTTACTAGAGTGTGTAAGGCCTTGAATTCAATGTTCAACACCACACACACATATGCATGCATGCACAAATTCAAAAGAGGTTGAGTGAAGACCACTAGGAAATCTAGGCTTGTGAAAAAAACCAACAACAAAACTACCTTTGAAATGTTACCCAGTATGTAATACACACACACACACACACACACACACACACACACACACACACACACACACACTTTAAATTTTGCTCCATGATTTTTCTTTCTTTCTTTCTTTTTTTGCAGTCATGGGGCTTGAACTCTGGGCCTGGGCACTGTCCCTCAGCTCTTCAGCTCAAGGCTAGCACTCTAACACTTGAGCCACAGCGCCACTTCTGGTTTCATGAGTGGTTTATTGGAGATTAGAGTCCCATAGACTTTTGTGCCGGGGCTGGCTTTGATCCGGGATCCTCATATCTCAGCCTGCTGAGTAGCTAGGATTACAGGTGTGAGCCAACGGCACCCGGCTCCATGATTTTTTTTTGAAATTTAAATAAATCAATATTTTAAATTACCTTGCAAAGCACGAAATCATTCCCCTACAAGACTTCTTCTACACCATCTGCAGGCAGTCATCTACCCCTGGGTAGTTGCTTAGCTTTAAGAAAGACTCTCTTCCAGAAACTCACTTTTTAAAGTTATTTTGTTATTTTATTTTTTTGTCAGTCATGGGGCTTGAACTCTGGGCCTGGGAGCTGTCCCTCAGCTCTTCAGCTCAAGGCAAACGCTCTACCAATTGAGCCACAGCAGTATGTATTTTCTAATTGTTCATTTCTGCAATTATTTCATATGAGCCATCTGGTAACTGGTTTTGCTACAAAAATCTCCTTAGATCATTAGTACTACAGATAATTTCTAAAGAATTCTTTTTCACTGTTCATATGAATATTTGTTGATCATTATAGAACTGTGAACTAGGCGGATTCCATAAAACCAACCAACTTTTGTCCATATCATTTGAAGAAACTTTGTTAAGTCTGGGGTAATTTAAACCCTAATGCTAAATTCAAATACTCTACAAACTTCAGTAAAATTAGACTATTTTTGTCTTCACTGAATTAATTTTAAATGCCTCACATCTCTGAGGTTTTGCAAAGGGATTATTGGATTCTGCCATCATAACAGTAAATTAGCACATACTTAGAGTGGCTCATAGAGACATTTTGAGAATATATATATATATATATATATTATATTTTTTGGGGGGGGTCCAGTCGTGGGGCCTGAACTCTGGGCCTGGGCACTGCCCCTCAGCTCTTCAGCTCAAGGCTAGTGCTCTACCACTTGAGCCACAGCGCCACTTCCGGCTTTTTTCTTTTTGCTTATGTGGTGCTGAGGAATCGAACCCAGGGCCTAAAACATGCAAGGCAAGCGCTCTACCGCTGAGCCACCTTCCCAGCCCCAAATGATTTTATAATGTTTTGGGTTTTTTTGGATCCAGTCCTGGGGCCTGAACTCTGGGCCTGGGCATTGTCCCTCAGCTCTGAAGAGCTGAGCTACCTTCCCAGCTTTGAGAATATTTTCTTCTAAAATATTTCCTTTAGCATAAATCTTTTTTTTTAATTTATTTATTTTTTATTTGTGAACATACTGTACAGAGGGGTTACAATTACATGGGCAGGATAATGCGTACATTTCTTACCAAGCATTGCAGCCTCCTCCTTTGGTTTACCCTTCACATCCCTTCCCAGCCTCCCCCCTCCCCCCCAATCCCAACCCTTCTCCTCCTTAAGACCAGAAAATAAGCTTCATTGGTTTTTAGCCATAAAATAGAAATTTTATAACTTTGCAAACATTAGTTCTCTCTATTAAAATATTAACCATTAAAAACAATGAAGTTTCTTCAGATTTAGCCAACATTATTGTATTTTTTACTTTACGGATTAAGGAATGAAAAGCCTATTTCATCATTATAATCTTTAAAGGATCTCATTAAGAAACACTTTGACTTTTAGTAGCTCTGTCTTTATAGTTGTGCTTCTAAAAGTTATCTTCTCTCAAATACTAGAAATTAAATCATTAATTTTTTTTTTTTTTTTTTTGGTCGTTCCTGGGGCTGAACTCTGGGCCTGGGCGCTGTCTCTCAGCTCTTCAGCTCAAGGCAAGCACTCTACCACTTGAGCTACAGCGCCACTTCTGGTTTTCTGGTGGTTTACTGGAGATAAGAGTTTCACAGACTTTCTTGCCCGGGCTGGCTTTGAACCACAATCCTCAGATCTCAGCCTCCTGAGTAGCTAGAATTATAGGTGTGAGCCACCGGCGCCTGGCTTAAATCACTAATATTTTTAAAAAAGATTTTAAGTGATGGCATTGTCCAAAGAGAAATTAACTCATGACTTGCCTTAAAAAACTGTCACCCCATCGATATATCACCTTTATGATAACAGTTTAAAAAACAAAATTTAAAGTGAGATTTTTTTTTTGGACTGAACTGGTATTTACCAATTAGAGAACAAGAGAGAGCAGGGGACTCAGGTGTCACACCTCATTCACAGGACTGAGTGCAGGACCCTGTAACTGTGCCCATTGTCAGCTGCTATCTTCACCTGTAAAATATCACCATACCTATCCTGTGTTTTATAAGAGGTAGTACGTGCTAGAATATAGTGAGTGCTGTTCATGACAGTGATTGGCTTTCAAAACGCTTACAATTCATACCATGTAAAACATTCCTTATTTCTCCAAGAATGCAAAAAGTCCCCATCTCCCCCTTAAATCTGTTTCCTCAGGGGAACTCCAAGATCCCTATCTGTCTTGTTCATTTTTGTGTGATTTACACAAAAATGCCAAATAGACTAGCAGTGATCCCGGTAAGAGACTGGCAGCTATACACTGAGCTCTGTTCCCTGTCTACAAAATTTAAAGGTAGATGTGGTGGAATGGAAGAGGGGGTGATTTGAGGCCTTGATACATCAAAAGGTAGAGCCTTAGCCAATTTACCTTGCTTAATTAGCTTTCTGAATTGATTGTTATAACACAATTAAAACTTGAAAAGGTATATGATTCTGCTTTGGTAGGTTTAGATTCTAGATAATGCAAACTTTTGGAACTTTCATTATTATCAGTTATTGGTGGTAGAAGAAACAACACATTTAACTTCTTACAACATTCTTAGACAATGCTTTTAAAAAGGAGGTCCTAGAGTAGTATCTGTTAAGTAAGACCAACAGATAGTTGAGTGTTAAAAGTCTGGCCCTTTTTTGCCATGATTATTACTTATTGATAGTAATTAGTTTCTTTCTTTTGCTGGTCCTGGGCTTGAAATCTAGACCTGGGCGCTGTTCCTGAGCTTCTATTGCTCAAGGTGTGCCCTCTACCACTTGAGCCACAGAGCCACTTTGGCTTTTTTCAATAGTTTATTGAAGATAGGAGTCTCATGGACTTTCCTGCCTGGGCTGGCTTTGAACCATGATCCTCAGATCTCAACCTCCTGAGTAGCAAGGATTACTGTGTGAGCCTTCAACGCCTGGCTTGTAATTAGTTTCCTTACCACTTCCTTTTTCTTCCAGATGAACCGACTAGCCCTAGCATCGACCACGACATTGCACACATCTCTGCCTCTGCTGTTATCTCGGCCTCCACCTCTCAGGTCCCCTCTATAGCAACAGTTCCTCCCAGCCTGACCACCTCAGCCCCTTTGATCCGACGCCAGCTCTCGCATGACCAAGGTACATTAAGGAGCAGTTAGCAAATCCTACCTTTCAATCATGTAACAAACTGGTCTTTTTCACCAGTAAAAGAATCTGGAAACCACTTGAAAAGTAGCAATGTTGGGTTTTCATTACAGAGTCTGTGGGACCCCCAAGCCTGGATGCCCAGCCCACCTCAAAGACAGAAAGATCAAAATCATATGATGAGGGTCTGGATGATTATAGAGAAGATGCCAAATTGTAAGTCTCAGTGTGTTACTGTAAATATTGGTATGTGGTGGGTATTTGGGACAAATTTGGCATATAAATACTGAAGTTAAGGTTTTTGAACATGACATAAAATAGTACATATGTGTACGTACAGTTACATATGTCTATCCTGGACCTGCAGCTGCTCAGCACTACTCAAATGTAGCTGTATTACTATTTTTTGAGGGTAATTCTAAAGCTAGTCTACATATAAAATCATTTATACACACTTGTGCTTTTGTGTGCATTCTGTACAGATGAGATCCTTCAGTTCATATTTGTGCCACATTCTTTTTCATGGTTGCTTAATTTTCCATTGAATAGTTGTACTGTACTATATTTTTACCAGTATTCTGTATTCTGTTGGCTTCCTCAATGCATCATTACTATGTGCACATATTTATGATTGAACATAGTATTGCTACATCCAGCTTCTCTTGAAGCCCTATGCCTTTTCATGACAGCACTTGCGCTATGGGGAAGGACAGTGTTGGGCAGCACTTACCATTGGACCATCAGGGGCACACTGCTGGCTCTAGCTGACTGCTGTTGGTGGCCATTAACACACCAGGACCAGCATGGCAGAAAGCCTACTCAGAGCTTTACATCTGTGCATAACTAGACATCAGCAACCCAGTGCTTAGCATTTTAAGCAGAAAGCTTTCATATGCTACAGTATCAATAAAATTAGCTGTTTTTCTCACATTGAACAGTGAACATATCACATGACACTGATGAAATGTTAGCTCAATGAAAGATTACTTGTTAATATTCAATTTTTTTACATCCTTGTCTTTTCCACTTATTAACACATGTGTATGCTTTTCCAACAGATCCTTCAAGCATGTATCTAGCCTGAAGGGAATCAAGGTTAGTGTTCATTGAATATGTGTACTTTATGTGCATTCATCAAGTACATACTATTATACATGCATTGTGCTGATTTTTCTCACTTTTATCAGTTCATTATTTGTTAGATGCTTGTTTTTGCATCCTTAAAAATTACTATTTCATGTTTTCCCTCTACCCTCTCTTTGTACCTCAGTTCTTCTTTCTCTCCTTCACCTGTCCTCATACTTCACTGAAAAAAAATTAGGAATGGCTACACAGGAATTTCATTAGCCATCTCAAAAATAGTTGTCACCTGCAGTGATAGCCAAACTTCCTGCCTTCCTTCGTTACCTTTAACTTGATACAGTGTACTGTTGACCAAGACCCACCCTTCTTTGGGTTTTATCCCTGGCCACATTTTCAAGTTTCTCTTAACCTCCTGCAAGATCATTGTCTTCCCAGTGGCCCATGCACTATTCCCTACTATTCCCTTCATCTTACAGACACCTTCTCTAGTTCCTACTCTGGCTTTCTCTTTGACTTGTATAGCAACACTCCTTGCAAAAATGCCTTACAGTGTCACCTTTCCAGTCCACACTTATCAAAATGACAGTGCTCATGATACAGTTTCCAGTGGCATTGATTCCAAAAGTAGTGGCTACTTTGCTTTTCAACTCAATTCACTGTTCAGCAATAGCCAACACAATTTCTGTCTTCTTCCTGAAATACTTTGGGATGCTGGCTTCCATTTTGCCAATCCCTTTCACTTTTCCTTCTGCCTCTAAGATCACTTCTTAGTCTCCTTTTCTAGGTCTTCTGCTGCTGCTTGTTATCTAAAGTTTGGAGTACTACGAGTTGTTCTGACCCTCGTAATGTTTGTCTACCTTGTCTACCCCGATTTCCTCAGAAGCTTATACAAAGACCTCCAAAATCTGTATTGCTAGCCTTAGTCCCTTCCCTAAATGGCAGGTCATATAAGCTGCTGCCTATGTGATATCTTCATTTGAATCTTGAATAAGCATTCAAGATTCATATGGCCAGTAGGCCTCCATTACTCCAGACTAGTTGATCTCTTGTTCAAGCCAAATTGTACAAAATAGCCATGTTATTTCACTCTATATCTAAAACCCCAAGTCATATATTTATGTATTTATTTGTGGTAGTACCACAGATGGAACTCAGGGCTTTGAACCTTCTCTGTTTGGGCTTAGTTCCTCTGGCACTCTGCCACTTGAGCCATGGAGTCTCAAGGATTTTTCTACCTGGTCTGGCTTCAATCCTCAGTCTTCTGATTGCCGCCGCTTGAATAGTAAGGATGTCAGGTATTCACCACCAGCTGACTGAAAACCCTGAGTTTATTTACACTCAATCCTCTCTGTTTCCACTCATGGTACATTAGTCTAAGCCTTCATTATTCCTCACCTTTATTCCTATACTAATGTCTTTTCATACTTGTCCTTTCAGAATCTGTTCTACACTGTAATGTGATCTTTGAACTGTGAGGTTAGGTAATAATACTCCACGATTCATCACTAAATGACTTCCAGTCCTGGCCTAAACAGTGTTTGTCAGCTGTGTCATTGATGTAGAACCATGAATCTACATTTGTCTCTGAAATTTTTCTCCCTCTACTGTTTTTTGGCTAGCTCCTAGTTTTTCTTGCCCATGTTAACTAGATCATCTCTTCAATGAGCCTTGCCTTGATACCAGCTCATAGTTGCTACACAGTCATTCTGTCACCTCCCTATTTTTATTTTCAAGTCACTATCTCAACTGGTTTGTTTTTTCTTTTCCTCTGTCTCTTTTCACAAGTCTCATATAACTGATCACCTGAGTGCTGGGATTGAAGGCAACCACCATCATATTTAGCTTCTTGTTTCTCTTTTTAATTGACATAAAGAACAGGAAAATCATCCTATTCCTGTGTGTTTTTAAAAAACAAATTAAAAGTTCCTGGTGCCTGGTGGCTCATGCCTTTAATCTTTAGGAGGCTGAGACCTGAGGATTGTGGTTCAAAGCCAGCCCAAATAGGAAAGTCATGGAGACTCTTATCTCCAGGAAATTACCAAAAAAGCTCAGAGATCGAGCCCAGGCCCTAAGTTTAAGCCCCAGGAATGGCCAAAAAAAAACAAGTTTCTTCAGATAACACTTTAAAAATAATGGTAGTCAATTTATATTCAACAGGATGGGGAATCTTTTTTTTCAAAAAAAGGTAGAATTTTTTCCCCAAAACTAGCTCTTAATGACTTTTTTTGGCAATCTTAATGTGCAAATATTTATTCATAGGGAGAACATTGACATTTCACTGTGTTTTCTTGCTCTTTCCTGTAGATCCTAGACAGCCAGAAGTCATCAGAAGACTCTGAATCCAGAAAGGATTCTTCCTCTGAAGTCTTCACAGATGCTGCCAAGGAAGGGTGGCTCCAGTTTCGACCACTCATCACCGACAAGGGCAAGGTAGAACATATCCTTAATCCCAAACGAAGTACTGTGTATAGGTGGGAAATGGTGAGGTGCTCACCACCTGAAAAAGTGGGGAAATCATCTGGAAATATATTCTGTAGTAAGGAAAAGAATATATTTTAAAGAAAATTCCAGTCACTGATTTTATGCCTTTTCGTCTACATGTAGACTATATTGTTTTATATATATATATTTTTTTTATGTTTTATACTATCCCCTTCCTTGTCTCCCTGCTTGCCATTGTTGGACGCCTATTCACAACACGATGAAGGGCGCCAGCGGCTCCATCACTGACAAGTCCTGGGATGAGTCTGAGTAGGGTGGGTTGCCACGGCAACCCTGGACGAGGCTCGATATCCCGGGAGCCCTGGTTTTTCACCACCGCCTCTGTCTGATTAGATTCGCACCTGGATTTCCCGGAACCCAGAGTGGAGGAGCCTTCATGGCGGAAGCTAGCCTAACTTCTCATTCCAGGGGAAGCCAGAGCATGGCCCCTGAGACCCCCCCATCCCAGTTCTGGAATTCACTCTCTCCCATGGACCGGTGAGGGAGTCAAGGGAGTGGGCTCGGCTGTGCCAGCCGCTGTGGGCGGAGCAGGAGCCGTGGGCGGGGCCATGTTTTATATTTTGCATTGTGAAAAGCAATTGAAGTATGGGGAAAATGCAGTCCAAATTTCAATATATACCCTGAAAAATTAAGGAAAGGGAAGGGAGAAGGTTGGGAGTGGAGGATGAGACAGTTTCAAGGAATGACATTGACTAAGATGCATTGTAGTGATAAACTGCTTTGTTGAATGGCTGCTACTTACAGAAGCAGCTGCTTTGCTTATTAGCTTCCTAGTCATAGGTTAACCACAGAGTAGGCCTTTACTATATGAACGGACAATTCTCTTAAGTAATTTTTATTGGTTAGGTAATTGTCTTTATCAAAAATAAAAGCAGGGGCTGGGAAGGTGGTTTAGTGGTAGAGTGCTTGCTTTGCATGTATGAGGCCCTGGGTTCAGTTCTTCAGCACCACATAAGCAGAAAAAGCTGGAAGTGGTGCTGTGGCTCAAGTGGTAGAGTGCTAGTCTTGAGCTGAAAAGCTGAGGTACAGTGCCCAGGCCCAGAGTTCAGGCCCCATGACTGGCAAAAAAATAAATAAAAGCAAAATTATAAATACTGGTTTTGAATATAACATTATCATTGTACACTTCATTAAGTACACTACAATATAGTAGCAGCAGATACAATATAGTAACAACTTAAAAAGACTTTTGATAATGCCAAAATATTTTCCAGATGCCTTGGCTTTGTAAAACACACACACATACGGGTATTATTGATCTCCCATTTGAAATTGTCTGTTTTGGGTCCCGTTGTGGAGCCTGAACTCTGGGCCTGGGCACTGTCCCTCAGCTCTTCAGCTCAAGGCTAGCACTCTGCCACTTGAGCCACAACGCCACTTCTGGCTTTTTTCTTTTTGCTTATGTGGTACTGAGGAATCAAACTTAGGGCCTCATGCATGCAAGGCAAGCGCTCTACCACTGAGCCACCTTCCCAGCGCTTCTTTGGCATTTTAAATTAATATCTTTTGCAACATGTACTTTATTTGAATTACTTTACTCATTTTATCCTCCCAACTGAAGTTGAGGTTTCATTAGTCCTTGGCTGTGTGATGTGAATATATTTCCTAACTTGGATAATAAGCTACAATTTTATCCTTTGTGCCAGAATATATTGTATATATTAGATCTAATATGTAATTCATATTCTATAATGCATGTTTATATATTCATGTTATATAGGATATATTATGCATGCTTAATATATTCTGTGTGTATATATTGAGGTCAGTCAGGCATCTGCTATAACATGCAATATGTGTGTTTGTATATTCAGAGTATTGCTTAATATGCCCATTCTGTCACCAAAAAAATAGCCATGTGTTGCATATTCATGAACCAATTCATGTTTTCCAGCGAGTTGGTGGAAGTATCCGGCCATGGAAACAGATGTATGTAGTACTTCGGGGCCATTCGCTTTACTTGTACAAGGACAAAAGGGAGCAGTTACCCCCGGCTGAGGAGGAACAGCCCATCAGCGTCAATGCTTGCCTCATAGACATCTCATACAGTGACACCAAGAGGAAAAATGTTTTTCGACTCACCACATCTGACTGTGAATGCCTGTTTCAAGCTGAAGACAGAGACGATATGTTAGCTTGGATCAAGACTATCCAGGAAAGTAGCAACCTAAATGAAGAGGTATGGATACTAAAGGCTATGGGTGGAATCTATACTTTTACGATATTTTTCTTAGGAAGACTGAAAAAAAAATCTAATGTATGATTTTTTTTGCACTATTAGGGATTGAACTCAGGGTCTCATGCTTGCTAGGCAGGCATTCTACCACTTGAGCCACAACTCCAGCCCTGATATATTAAGGTTACTTAAAAAAAATTTAGAAAGCTATTTCTATTTAAAAATAGTCAAGCAGTAAGAAAACTCAAGTTTGCTACTTAACATTATTTTCACTTATTGAAACGTTACCATGCCAGAGCTAGACAAATGTGTACCAGTCATACTCTACTTACCTTCCCAAAAGCAGTGAATACAAATGGCCTCATGCTGTCCTGACCATTCTAGTTGTCCCTTTGTGTCCCCGTCATTCCGTAGATACCCAAACCTGTGGCACTCCAGTTTCTTACATGAAATGCCGTTGTGTTTGTATGTAATCTATTATACATCTGATCTCTAGATTACTTGTAATAGTTATTCCTTAACAATGCTATTGGCACAGCAATAACAAGCAAGAGTCCAGCCATGTTTGAAATGATGCAGTTTTTTTTTTTCTATTTTCCATCCACAGTTGGTTGAATTCTCATATTTGAGACCTGAGGACAGAAAAAGCTAGCCAAAGCTTTTGAACTGTATTACTAGGGTAGACCTGTTTCCTCATCTCAAAAACAGGATATGTGGGCTTAGGTTATAGAAAGCTATTTATCTGAACAAATTACTGAAGGCTGGAGGCATAGTTCAAGAGGTAGAACACCAGACAAATGAGTGAAAGGTTCTCACATGTTCAAGCTCCATTATTGGCAACAAATAAAAAATTACTAGTATGTAAAAGGCTTAACTGGACACAAGTCTCTTATAGTCTTTTCTGATATAATATTTGCTTTCTATTTAATATACACTTTCTATGAAATACACACTAGCAAAAATCATGATAAAAGCAAGGTTTTCTTAGAATGTTTTAGACACAAGAAATTCAGTAGTGTTTTTTTTGTTTTGTTTTGGTGCCAGTCCTGGGGCTTAAGCACTGTCACTAATGCTCTACTACTTGAGCCACAGCTCTACTCTGGCTTTTTTGAGTAGTTTATTGAAGGTAAGAGTCTCAGAACTTTACTGCCTGGGCTGGCTTCAAATAGTGATCCTTAGATCTCAGTCTCCTAAGTAAGATTACAGCTTCAGATAGGTTTTAAAATAGTTAAGTTTGAACTTTTTCCTCTTCCTCACCTTTTGCATCAGTTTGGGCCATAGTGATCTTTTTCTTGCTCACATTTCTCAGGAACACATACATTTACTGTAAAACCTTACCAGTTGTTTTCTGTAACCATTTTGGTAAAAACCATTTTGGTAACTTGTAAAAACCTTACACTCTGGTTATCAACCTGCTGCCTTGTTTATAATTCAGAGTTGACACTGGATCTTACTGATACAATCTTAGTTCAGAAGCACTCACTCAGAGGAGCATCAGTACTGAATTATGTAAAATAGAGAGTCATTGTAAAAATTGTTTTGAATGATTTTGGAATGATTTTGTCTGTATAGAGCTGGCTTGAGAGTTAATAACATCAGCCGTCATCATCATGGAATCTTGAGACGCATAGCTATTTTGTTCCCTGAGTCGTTTCTTGAAGGGTAACTCACTTTGCTTACATATCAGATGGCAGGTGCTGTTTAAACAGTTTACATCATTTACTATGAGCAACCCTGAGAATACATCACTTTCAATATCACCACAACTTTACACCCCCCCACCCTCCGCCAAGGGAATGGCCATAATGTGATTTCCCAAAGTCCTGTAGTAAGTGTCAGGATGATGATCCAAATCCATGTAATATTATGCTGGATGTTAATATTACAATCTGCTGGCACACTGGAAGAATTAACTTTAATCAAGAATTGTTTTACTTCAAAGCCCGTATTCTTGTTTGTATATCTTTACCTGAACTGTACTAAAAAATGAGACACATAAACTGTAAATGTGTATTTATGCCCAACTCTGGGTTTACCACATAGTGTAAACATTACCCGGGTGCTGGTAGTTCATGCCTGTAATCCTAGCTTCTCAAGAGACTGAGATCTGGAGGCTCAAGGTTCAAAGCCAAACCAGATAGAAAAGTTTATGAGACTCCATCTCCAATTTAACCAGCAAAAAGTCAGGCTGAAGGATGGTTCAAGAGGTAGTGACAGCTATGAGCAGGAAAGCAGAGCAAGTGTGAGGTCCTGAGTGTAAGCCCTGGCACCAAGCCATTCAACATTAACCTACAGACATGAAAGTAAATAATAACATTTTGATAACTTGCCACTTCTGCTTACTAAGTAACCCTCAGTTCCTGCAGATTAATCATTGGTAAAGTCTGGTAGCATTTTTCCTTCTGTTAGCTTACACTATTACTATTAAATGTTGATCATTCTAATGTTAGTGAAAAAACTGGCTCCCTGTTGCCCAGTCATTTATTTAAAATGACATCCAGTCAATTAGTTTTGAACCCTTGTTACTTGCTAGAACTATTCTAGGTATCACATGAACGAAGAATATAATCAGAACTCATTTGGCAATGGCAATATCACAGGGTGATATTGACTAGTGGTTGAGAATAAATCAGTGTTTAAGCAAAGTAATAGATTAGCCTTAAAAGAATAGGGCTCACACATTTATGTTTAGAATTGATTTTCTAACATGATCTTCTATTCATTCTATAGGACACTGGAGTTACTAACAGGGATCTAATCAGTCGAAGAATAAAAGAATATAACAGCCTGATGAGGTGAGAATCCCACTGTGTTTACAAAGTTTATGTGGATGTAAAGTAGGAACTTGTTGAGAAATGTTCATTTCTTTCAGCAGCAAAGCAGAACAGTTGCCAAAAACACCTCGCCAGACTCTGAGCATCAGGCAGACCTTGCTTGGTGCTAAATCAGAGCAAAAGAGTCAAAGCCCACACTCTCCCAAGGAAGAATCAGAAAGGAAACTTCTCAGTAAAGGTACTTGGGTAAATCTAATTAACATTTACAATGGGATCTTGAGATATGTAGTACACCCAAGGTTGGCTTAGTGAGAGTTTATAAAGATCTGGTCTAGGTTAGGGAGTCCTTTTCTCTTAAGTGAGGCCCAACTCACCTTAAGTTTCTGCATAATAGAAGGAAGCCCAGTATTTCACCTTACAAGTTTTGAATGGCTTTAGGACCCAGGGTTGTTGGTCTTTTCCTAAATCTTACTAGAAAGATGACATGTTCATTTGAACTCAGCCTTGCACTTAGGCAAGCGTTCTGCCCATTGAACCTCATCCCCAGCTTTTGTTTTAGTTTTGTTTTTTTCATGTAAGGTCTCAGACTTTTACCTTCACAGAACTGGAATTGTAGGCATTATATATTCCCAGTCCCTATTCTAGTTTTTCTCTTGGAAATCATGGTAAACATTAAAGAATGAAGAAATGTAATGGATACCTATTAAGTTATGTAGAAGACTAAAGGAAGAGAATATTTTTATAGTAAAATGTTTTTATTCTAGGCACCAATGGCTCACGCCTGTAATCCTAGCCACTAAGGAGTCTGAGATCTGAGGATCATGGTTCAAAGCCAGCCCAGGCACGAAAGTCCATGAGATTCTCATCTCCAGTTAAGCACCAGAACAGCCAGAATTGGAGTTGTGGCTCAAGTGGTAGAGTACTAGCATTGAACAAAAAAGCTCAGGGACAGTGCCCAGGCCTGGCATACAAAAAGAAATTATATATTATAGTAGGAAGAGAATTTCTGATAAATGTAGGATGCTTTTAATGTAAACACTGGCAAATGAGTTTTTAAAGTTGTGACTTAAACACTTTTATTATGTCATTTTCAACAATAAAAAGATGATACCAGTCCCCCAAAAGACAAAGGTACATGGAGGAAAGGCATTCCAAGCATCATGAGAAAAACATTCGAGAAAAAACCTACCGCCACGGGAACATTCGGGGTCAGACTGGATGACTGCCCACCAGCACATACGAACCGGGTAGGAGACCCACCCAGCCCGTGATACTGTGGGACCCAAGGCCTCTGCCTTTCAGATATCACTCACCTCCTGGGTGCTTTCCTCTTCCCAGCAGACCTTTGTTCCCCTAAGGGTTTCTGTCCTGTCTGTGATTTACAATGCTTTTTCTTCCCACATTCTCTTGGCTCTTAAATAGAATGATTTGGTCATTAAGAAGTCAAAATCCATTTCAAATCATGTTTTTGCTGCTTTTAGCATCTTCAAGAGGAAACCAGAGACCTCATTAGGAAAGTATAAAATGCAAATAAATGTGTGTATTTCCAGCACCCATGTTAGCTTTCATACTGAGAGTTGACGATGCTCTGCCCTGACTTCACGTTCATCGCGCGTAGTTACTTTCCCCTTCTCACTGTCTTGCCTCCTGTCTTCTTGTGCTGATAGCCTCTGTTGTCTTAGCCTATTCATTCCTTTTCTACTCACCAACACCTCCTGCTGGTTGTATCTCCAGTTTTACATTGTCTATATTTGTTTTCTCTCTTATTTAACAGCAATTGATAGGTTTCTTTTTGGGTGAAAAGGGCGTGCAGCTACTGAATATAAGCCTGCAGACTATACTAAATACAATGTTTGTTTCTTGTCTTGCAGTTTATACCATTAATAGTTGACATATGTTGCAAATTAGTTGAAGAGCGAGGTCTTGAATACACAGGTATTTACAGAGTTCCTGGGAATAATGCCGCCATTTCAAGTATGCAAGAGGAGCTCAACAAGGGAATGGCTGATATCGATATACAGGATGATGTAAGTTGATTTCTATTGGAGTAACTGACGCAGATTTTTTCCTTTTATAATACTGACTAGAAATACTGAATTTCTCTTTTGCATTCATAGAAATGGAGAGACTTGAATGTGATAAGTAGTTTACTAAAATCCTTCTTCAGGAAACTCCCGGAGCCACTCTTCACAAATGGTGAGTGAGTTAATACATGGAAGAGCTGCCAGAAGAAAATGTTCACTTTACAACAGGGGAGAGCCTTAGAAGAGTAAACTCAGAAGATTAAGTTGAACTGGGGGAAACGTTGTTGCCGACTAGGTATGGTGACTTATTTCTGTAATCCCAGATACTTGGGAGGCAGAGACAGAAGGATTAAAGTCCAAGTCCAGCATCAGGTAGAAGCAAAGTGGCTCATGTGGTAGAGCATTTGCCTGACAAGTGTGAGGCCTGATTCAAATCCCAGGATGTCAAATAAAAATATAAGTACGTAAATATTTATATGCATAAATATAAGTAGGTGTGCATTATTATCAAAGGAATCAGGAAATTTTTAGTTCTCATTTACGCGAAAAAGTAGTTACTACTTTTTTAGTTACTACTTTTTGTTATTGAATTTTTAGTTACTACTTTTTGTTATTGAATTTTGTTTCAATGACACCACATATTTGAATGGCACAACAGTTATAAGACATCATTGTACAAGATAAGGTATGAGAAGAGTGGACAGGCTGGGCGGGTACAGGGTGAGAAAGTCACATTCACAGAATTCTCTTCAGCTTGTTTTTAAAAAAAAGTACATCTTAAGAGTTTAACTTTTCAAAGGTATGTGGGTAATCCTCTCTTGTTTGTTACTGAACCTTGAAAGAAAACTAGATTACAAATCACCCAGACAATTGAAGGTAAAATGTCCTAATCTCTTTGTCAGATAAATATGCAGATTTTATCGAAGCCAATCGTAAAGAAGATCCTCTAGAACGACTAAAAACATTAAAAAGACTAGTAAGTACTTGTTTGTTTGGGTTTGTTTTGGAGGTAGGATTTAAACGCTGCATATAAATCCACTATGAAAATAATATGTTTCAGATTCACGATCTGCCTGAACATCATTATGAGACCCTCAAGTTTCTTTCGGCTCATCTGAAGACAGTGGCAGAAAATTCAGAAAAAAATAAGGTATATAAAATACATAGTGAAGAAACAAACATTTAAAAGGTTGACTCCACTGTTATGCCAAATAGTGAGACCTAGTTTGTAGATTTATCTCTAAAAATGCACCTCACTGGTTGAGTCCTCTTAAACAAAATGCCCACATAAGGCAGCTGTCGCCATTTTTAAAGGGTATTTCATGTCAGAAATGTTTCTAGAAATCTTGTTTGAATGTTTAGCTATACATGCAGTTTTGAATAGATATTTTATGCTAGAACAGCCAGGGAGTACCACCAGTTCACAGTGAAAACAACACAGATGTGGTTCCTCCCCCAGCCCAGCCACAAGTGCTGCTCTCCTCTCAGTATTATCTAACAGTACAGTGTCAGTCTTTGATTATGCAAAGATCCATGAGAATTCATGCTTGGTATTTTATTTCATTAGAAGTTACAAAATGGTCCATTTCTAACTCTAGACATTACTTCTTGAAGTACTGAAACAGTTTCTAGAGCAGAAAGTATGAGAGAAAGGAATGCTGAGAGCCTTTTCCCCTTTATTTAAGTGTGAATCTTACCTGAAGCAGAGTAATGTGCTTAGTCAACTCAGTGGCTACCCATGGTCTGCATGCCTGCATGTGTAATTATCTGGTCACCGTGTCCTTCATTGTAGCACACAGAGAGAAAACAGGAACGGAAAACCTATATCACATTATGGTATTACCTCAGAAAATTCTGAAATAATTAATCAACTAGTGTATATCTCATTCACCAATTTTGCTGGATTTTAGTAGGATTAACTGGGCAGAATGTCTAATTAGCTTAGAAAGTGCTGAGTTCAGTTTAA